TATATTTCCCCCCCTCCCCCCTAGTACTGGGGATCACACTTGGGACCTTGTGCTTGCCAGACAGGGGCTTATGCCACTGAGCTATATCCCTGGTCCTATACATTTTATTTCATTTATTTTTTTGCAGTACCAGGGATTGAACTCAGGACCTTGGGTTTGCCAGACAGGCACTTATGCTGCCGAGCTATATCCCTGGCCCCATTTTGTTTTTAAGTTAGGGTCTTGGTAACTTAGTTCCAGGTGGTCTTGAACTCACCGTGTAGTCCAGGTTGGCCTGGAACTTGTGGCAATCCTCCTGCTTCCATATCCTAAGTGCTGGGACTAAAGCTACATGACACCACAACCAGTCCTCCCTACTCTGAAACCGTGTTACTATCCTCACTACTATGATCAATTATCTTCCAATCTTAAAGGTTTTGACTCCTGTAATAACCAAATCCAGCTTCAAGTTCCTCTAGGTCCTACCTTCTGCCCTGTAAAATGAAGATGTTGCCTTTAACCAGCCTCCACATCCTTAGAAAACAAACACCAACACACTCTCACAACAAAGATCACACCATTTATTTACAAAGGCCAGTGTGGGTGTTGGGGGAGGTCAGGAGGGAAAGGGCAGACATCTCTGGACTGCTTGGGACCCTTTCCCACTTTGGAACGGAATTCTGTTCCTCTTGCCTCTTCCGTATCATCAGCCAAGGGGTCCTCCATGCCCGGGAGATGGGGAGAAGGTGACATGAGCCTCCTCGGAGCCCAAACAGAGCAATGTCCAGTTCCAGATTAAAGGTGCCACTGCTGCCCTCCCCTCTCCTTCCTCAGAAAGAGCTCTGTGCCGGGGATATAGTTCAGTGGTCCAGCACTTGCCTAGCATGCGTGAAACCTTGGTTTCAATCCCCAGCACCACAAAAAACCCAAGCAAGCAAACAAACAAAAACACTTTCTGGCCTGGAAAGAAACAGTGAACAACCAAAAGACCAAGGACTCTGGAGTGAGAAATCCCTCTGCTATTCCCCGAAGTAGTGACAGGAAGGGGCAGCCTGACAGCTTCAGAAGGTCCCCACACTGCTTGTTGGTGACCCAGCACATAGAAGTTCAGGGAAACCTAGCTCTCCCGGATGTGCTACTGCTACACCTCCTACACGAGACTGGCCCTATGACCTACTTGTCTCTGGTGAAAGAGACTAGGTATCAGCAAATAATCCACCCTAACACACACACACACACACACACACACACACACACACACACACACACACAGAAACATGCCATCCCACTGCTGAGACAGATATCCACTCCCTTCTTTGAAGAAGTAGAAATGATTGTGCCAAGATACAGGTAGGCCCTGGGTTTATGGAAACGTGTGTGTGTGTGTGCGCGCGCGCGCGCGAACGTACGTATGTGCATGTGTGCATGCATGTGTCTGAGAAAGTGGAGCCAGTGTCACTGCTTGCTCAAACTGCCTAACTTTGAGGAGTCCCTTTCTTCACTTCTAATTTGGCCAGGATTTTATTTCTCCTCTACAGGCCTGGGCCTGAGTTCTGACTAAAAGGTCTCAGCACTTCCACATTCCAACTATCGATTCTCCAGCCAAGACTGCTGTTGCCCATTCTCTGCCTCCAAGCAATCCTAATCCCTCTTCATGCACACCAGTCTACGCTGAGCTGGGACCAGGTCTGTTGACTGCGATCTAAAGCACTAAGTTTCAGGCCCTCTTTACCCTTTCACCCCCGGCCCAGACAAGGAAACAGGCATCTCCCACTGCTCCCAGGAAGTCCTTACAGAGAATGTGAGAAAGTGGTGGATGAAATAACCAGAATAGAAGTTGAGGAGGAAAGACCAAAGCCTGGGTCACCTGTCCCTCACCTTCAGACATGACATTCTCGCCTGGTTGGGCTGGGGTGGGGGAGGGAAGGCAGAAGGAAGACAGTTACCAAACTCAGTGTAAGACAAGCTAAGCCCTAGTGGCATAGATGGAAGACTCTGTTCCAGTCAGACAACTGGGTCCTCCTTCGACCGCTGCAGTCCCACTGAGAAGTCTGGAAGACTTCAAAAAGTGACGGTGGCAGGGAAGTGGACAATCAATAGAACTGTAAACTGTCTGAAGG